ACCCCTAATATATATATGAGCTATAGCAGCAGTGGCACACTAGTGCACGTGTTGTTGTTAATTTCATTAACACCAAAGCAGCTGAAACTGATTAACAACCTCCTCTTTTATTTAACTGATCAGATCAATATCCCACAAGTTTAACTGACTTGATGCTGTACTCTGATTTAAACATTTTTTTAAGCACTTCATATGCAGCCTGTCTTGACTAAAACAGATTGAGAAGTATTGGATTGAGATCTGGTGACTGTGGAGGCCATTTGAGTACAGTGAACTATGCAGAACAGTGTTTTGTTCAGAAAGATATTTTGAGATGATCCAAGCTTATTCTGGTAACAGCAACCATTAGAAAATGGGTATGGTGTGGTTATAAAGCGATGTGGTCAGCAACAGTACTGTGTTAGCCTGTGGGATTTAAATTATGCTCAGTTGGTACTAAGGGGGCACTTGGAAAATATCCCCCAACCATTGATACAAAACAGGATGCATCCACTCTTACATATCCTGTCACACGTTCTCCTCTGACCCCTGGCATCAAAAGGGCATTTTCACCAGAGAACTGCTGCTCATTGAATATTTTCTCTTTTTCAGTCTATTTCTCTATAAATCCTCAAAATGGTTGTGGAAAAAATCCCAGAGTAGATCAGCATATATCTGAAGTACTCACATTTGCCTATCTGGCACCAACAACTGTTTCGTGTTCAAAGTTAACATGAAAACACATGTCGACATGCCCAGATGCATTGAGTTATGATATGAAACTAAACAATATATTGCATTGTATTTGAGTTGTAAAATACTGACTGTTGACGATAACCTCTCAACCTCACTTCATACCTTTACTGTATGAATCAAATGACATAAAGAAATGATTCTCATTTGACACACCAGTCTGTTTTAAAAGAACTGCTTGTAATATTTCTCACAGAAAATACAGACCTAAATATTCTGTACTGCACCATCTCACAATAAAAATAAGGAGAGATGATGTTCATCTATATCATTCAGCCATAGAGAATGTGTTTTTGAATGTCTCTGTGTGTAAAAGTATAAATAACTCAAGCATTTCTGTGCATGTGCTTTAACGTTTGTGTGTATATCCCTGTGGACCAGAGGAATGTAGTGCAGACTTTGCCAGAATATCATACAAGATGTTAAAAGCTGACAAGTAGTGAAGAGTGGGTGATGGAGTGTGTGTGTGTGTGTGTGTGTGTGTGTGTGCGCGTGTGTGTGTGCGCGCGCCGTCTAGCCGACTCCCTGTGGGGCTTCTTGTGAGTGGGTGAGGATCAGGCCCTTGTTACTGTCTTCTGGGCTGATGGTCCTGTGATCACTCGCAGCTAGGACATGGCAACGCCCACACACTGCCTGCCCTCAAACCAAGACAAATGTCCAGACACGCGCGCGCACACACACACACACACACACACACACACACATTCATGCATACACTTTACTGCTCAAGCAGTCTTTTGCACTCATGTTGAGCTTTAACATGCATGTACACACACAGGTTCTTTCTCATTACAGGACCAGTAACTGCACTCGCCTCCTGCTTTGTCCTGAGGTCTGAAACTCATTTCATTGCTGCTCCTACACTCCTTCCTTACCTCCATCTTCTTTATAAAGCTTCAAATCCCTTCAATAGACCCATATAGCCAGCTAGCACTAAGCCCCCACAAACTGCCCTTATAGACGCTGGCCATGCCGAATGCTCCCCTACTTTATTTATTTATTTGATGGTTTGAGACGCTCCCCCTGGGTGGATGGTGGTCTAATCAAGTGTTGCAAATTGGATCAGACCTCAAAAAATGAAGTGAAATGCTCACCAAAAAAGGAATACAATAAAGATATAGCTATATAAAAATATTTAAGGTACTCAAGAATAAAAGAGTGGAACCAATTTCAAGGTCAGATTTGCTTAAATATATTAATGTTGAATATCTCCTGCAAAACAAAGACCTTTACAGAGCAGAAGAAGAAATTCTCCATGAAGAATGCATGTCATGTTTCTGTTCCATTTTGGGGGAAGAAAAAAAACAATAAATATTGACTGAATTTGAACTGAAAAACAAAATAAATGATGGCACGGTGTGAAAGACACACAGCTTTATATATAAATGTAAAAGTTTGTGCATTAGAGGAAGCCTCTTATTCACTGTGGTAATATAAATACTGCATTATTGCTGTAATCCAGAATGTTAACATTAAAATACGCTGAAAACAACAGGAAACATTGAGATTTAAAATATAGACAATATGTGATTGGGACAAAGAAGCAGGCTGAAAACTAACATACACACAATCCAAGATGAAACAACAAAATATTCCCTGTGTATGTACACAAGGAATCGAACAAAAGAGTATGAGAAGAATTGAATATAGTCTGTTTTATTCTGTTTTAGTTGCAGAAGTTTTGAAGCCTATCCCAGCTACCATAGGGCAAGATGCAGTGTACACCCTGGACAAATCGCCAGTGTGTCACAGGGTTAACATAGAGGGACAGACAACCATTCACACTCACTCATCACATTAACATAGGAACACAGTAACAATTAACATAACAGAACCCACACGAACACGGACATGCAACTCCACACAGAAAAGCCCCGGCCAGGTGGTGGAGTCCAACAAAGGTCCTTCATGCTGTGAGGCAATAGTGCTAACCGTGCCACAGTGCTGCACTGGGATGCGAACTTTTCTATCCAAAATTAATTATTTTTTGTAAATATAACATGCATGTCAATATTCTTAATCATAAAATACTTATAATGCATAATAATATGCATTTTAGAAGAAAAAACGGTGACTAGTGAAAATGCACACATGCGTTGACACTAAAAACACTAGTAACAGTAGAAACAACAGCAAATAGAAAAATGTTGCAAAAGTACACAGAAAAACCGAGCTGATAAGCTAACAGTAGATAGACGTTTGCTAACAGTAACAAATATATAGTATTATACTTTTAAATGCAATCCTTTACAAGTTTTTTGCTCTTTTACTTCTGCAGTTGTTCCATCACGTTATTGTGTCCCATTTTTCCATTTACAGATATTTAAGTTTTTTTTGACCTTTTAGAGCCACCATACTTTTCAGGGTCGGTGTCAAATAATGAGGTCAGTGTTGAATCTCTGAAAGCCAAAAGCTCAGGTCTCAGGCTGCTTCTGAGAGTTTTTCTACTCTTGGTTTGGTATGATCTCAGTGAGCAGATATATCCTTAATGTCGTCATGGCAGACACATAACTCTGCAGCTCCACCCACCTGCTTTTTCAGAGCTTTTGTTTGTGCGGGGCAGCCAATCAGAAGAAAGCTTTCTGAAAGCAAAAGAGGAGAAAGATACAACTTAATAAAGTGGCCTTGGACTACATGAGCTGAAGGTCGGATGGTTTTTCACTTCCTTTTATAGCAGTATTTTTGGTAAAACATCATCTCGATCATGTGAGTGTAGAGGCCGCTAATAAAATATTTGTGTGATATCTTGTGTCAGTCAGCCTGAAAGCTTTTCAGTGGTTTATGAAGCTGTTAGGAAACAACGCTGAAGTGTCAGTGAGCCGTTGTCTGTTGTTTGCCTGCCTCTTCGGCCCCATTTATTTGTGCGCTGTCATTAGTCATCGTTGCTCAGTTCAAACAGAGCTCTGAGCAGCAACCCCCCACTCCCAAAGACAGACAGCGCAGGACCGAGAGAAATCCTGTCTGGCCCAGTGCCGATGCAGAGTGACGTCATCTACATAAACATTCACGCACGAACGTCCAGTCATACACAGCAAATGTGCACTCACAAGACGCCATGGGACATCTACTCTAGCACTCTTGTGTGTGTTCGTGTGTATGTGCGGGTGAACATGTGCCGCCAAATCATCATACATACATCTTTTTTCCCCCGCTCTCCCTCTCGTGCTCCCTCTCTTTTTTTTCTCTTGCTCTCTTTGGGTCTCTTATAATTAAATAAAATTAAATGAGTCATTTATGAACCTTTGGGAGTGACAGAGGCAAGGGGCGAATAGAACATGAAGCGCACCTGTGCATTTTGCTGGCAGCGTGTTGCGTAACAGTAGCGTGTCTTCCTTGCGCTTATGGAAATATATTAGTAATGGCACTGTACTCGAGCTCTCTTCCACATCCTGTAGTGACACACGGCATCTCCCCGTTTTGTCAGCAGGCGCCTTATCGTACATGGCATGCTGTCTGTAGAAAGAAACGCTCAGGCTCTTCCATTTACACACTCGGCTGCACACTGCTGCACATACACCGCACTCGCATATTGACACACACCTGACACACCGAAGGAGGTTCCGTGGTGCAGGAAATAAATAAAGCTGGATAAATTGCTCTCTGGGGAGCCAAGTAGATTAGATGGCATGCACAACATAGCTGCTGCGTTTGGTTTTGGACCAATGTTAGGATGGGCAAATACAGGAATTGCTCATTTCTGAATCCTTTACGAGCGTTTGTTGGGAAGCGGCGATCACAGATGGAAGTCATAAATCTGCAAGATCTGCCACATTTATTTTTTCATTTGACAACTGTAAGCTCGGTGGGCACCAGAAAATTAACACTGCATGCCTCAAGAGAAAGCCTGTTAGTTTTTAGTAAAACCTTCAACAGCATCAGAAGGAGCCAAGTGAAGCTTGTTAAGCTGCCTAAAGTGATTACATTTGAGTTGGTGTCTTTTGGGTCTGAATAAAAAGTGAAAACTGAGGGAGTTAGAACGAAGCTTCAGGGCTCTGTTTCAGGTTAATGGCTCAAGGCCACATTTCCTACCCACTAGTGTAACACAACCAAATATCCAGCTAAAAAACAAAACAAAAAATTATTGGTCCAATTTTTCCATTGAGTCAAAAAGTTTGTTATCAGATTGCCCCTGGTGGGATACTGATTTATCCAGACAACTCATTATAGATTAAGGGAAGAATGAATATTTAGTGATTGGACATCACCTTATATCATTTTCAGTTTGGACAGACTGTAAAAATGAATTGTTGCTTATAGTGCTACAAGCAGTGTCACAATCGCTCTGTTAATGTTTTTGTCATCTGGTGTTAGCATCCTCTCAGGTATTACCAAAGTCCAGGGGACTTGTGCATCCAATGCATTCTCTTACCATACACGAGATCTTGTTTGGTGTTGGTGCACTGACAGACTAGCTACAACAATACTGGGTGCCAAGAGCACTCCATCCATCCATCATATACTGCTGAAGTATGGTGGTGGTAGCAGCAGGCTAAGTAGAGTGTCCCCCGACCTGCAAGTAGGTTGCAGGTCTACCCCGTGGGGTTTCCTGTCACTTGCGTGAAGGGCTGTCAAACAAAATGATGCTCAGATACTAAATGAATACTAAAAATTACTATAAAAACTACTATATTACTGCTCTTCTAATTGGTACACAATTTCAAATAGCACAGTTGCAAACAGGCAGGTAAAAAAACCCTCAACACTAGTAGTAATATGTACCGCAGTTAAAAACTTTGAGAGGAATATTGAGAGGTCATTAAATCTCATTAAATGTTAACCTGGTTCAAGTTGTTTAATTTTGACCTAATTTTTAATTTCATTTTTACTTGTTATTTAGATTTAGACACTAAATAAATTGTGTGGTTGGGTTTAGGCACTTAGATGCACTTGCTTATAGGTTAAGACTATAGTTTGGGTTGAAATACATCTGTATAAAAAATGACAAACCTAGAGTGACACGCTCATCATGTTAATACATGTACAATAACCTGATGCAGCAACAAAAACTGCAGGACTGGTGCCTCTCTGGCTGGTTCCAGACCTACCCAGACTCTACTCGAGAGTACATGTCTCGAGTAAAATCTCATTGGAGTTTCTTATTGCTTCAGTCAGTGGATTTGCGATTTAGCTGAAATAGAACAGCTAAACCTTGAGGCAATGCGGGGCCTTGTTGTGCTTTAAAGTTAACAATATTCCCAGATGCAAAAATCCTCCAAAAGCATTTAAGCACCTAATCACTATATTACTCATTATGAGTGTAAGAATGGACCACTGAGATCCATTAATCTGTGACGGGTGTGTTTGTGTATGTCTGACTGTGTGCAGGTGCATGTATGTGCATATGCATATATAATATAAATACTATAGATGATAGTTATATGAAGTTTTATAAATGTGGTGTTTATTGAATACAATACGTAGCATGCTGACTCTGGTTGATTCCCTGAATATTTCTCTGTGCTATTTCTTTCTTTTTGAAATATATTTTATGCAGTTTTTAAAATAATCTAATTGGCATTGTAGATACATACTGACTACAAACCAAAAGCTATTAAACCGTCATAATTGAAAGCTGGAAAATTTGGGTGGTAAAATTGCTGAAGCCTTCACCTGACCTAAAAGTACTGAGCCTGGTAATTATGTACCCACATGCATGAAATCGTTTTAGTGAAGCTTTTGGTCCTGCCATCACAAACCTGTGTTAAGCATGAATAGCTTCTTTACAGTGATTAGTGAGAACTGGTGTACCTTGCATTAATGCCTCTAGATAATGAAGGCAAAAAAAATGACACTACGGTTCCCTTTCAGTCACATATCTGTCAGTCAGTTTGTGCTGCCACTGTCCATGTTCGGATATTTAATCTTTTTCCTTTTTCTCTGCAGGTATGATTTAGACTGCAAGAGTGACAACCTCTCCAGACATGTGAGTGTCTCTTTCACCTCAGCTGTTCAACAATCAGCCATGCATTCATTTAAATTTTATACAGCCACAGTTAACCTTCCAGAACAATAGCAGCCTGATTTGAATTTGAATGTTGGGGGTAAAAGTAGTGATCATAAACACACATGCAAAGCAACCAAAGAGCTTTTCAGGGTGACAAGGTGGACTATTCTTTACTGACCAAGTCAAGTAAATGATCTCAGTCTGATTGAACTTTGCTCCATTTACTGAAGGCCAGAATAAAGGCTGAGAGCCACACAACAACCAAGGGCTGAGGTTTAAAGTGTTTCCTTATGTCTGTAGGTCACCAAGACCTCACACCTCATAGATGCTGTTCATGTTTAAAAAACAAAGAAAAACAAAAAATATCAGCTGATTAGAGATAAATCAGGGCACTGAGTTATGGGTGCATCTGCTACTTTGCATATACTCTTTCTTTTAATTCAAATTCAAATTTTATTTGTCACGTACACAGTCATACACAGTACGATATGCAGTGAAATGCTTGGACAACTGCTCGTGACCTAAAGAAAACAAAAAAAAGGCTATGAATAAGATAGGAAATAAATATGAAAAATTAAAAAGGGTAAATTTAACTAGGAAGGAATAAAATATAAATTAAGGTTAAAAATGAAATAACTGTACAACACAAATTAGAATGAAGGGTAAATTTAACTGGGAAAGAATAAGATAAAATATATAAATTAAAGTTGAAAATAAAATAACTGTACAACAAAATACACAATACACAGTATAGAACTATATAAGAATGTATGAAGAAATATAAATAAATATATATACACAATAACAGCAGCTGTACAAGTATTAACTGGAAATGAAGAATATAGTGACCAGTGTTGTGCAATCCACATTATGTCTTGTGCAGTGCAAATATGCTTAAAGTGATTTCGTGATGAAGTGAAAACAATGTCCAGAAGTTAAATACGAATTTATATTTTACCAGTCTTGCCGTTAAAGTCATCTTGTGCATTTTCCAGACCACGTTCAGTTCGGCTGATAATTTGAAATAGCTTTTTGGAAGCTGTGTTTTGACACATCTGGGAATTGACCACAGTGCTTAATAAAAACAGACTGTCCCTGAAGGCAGCACATCAGTCAGGTGTTTGATTGTGAGCACACATTTGTTTTCACAAATGTAAAGAGAATCAGAGCAGAGGTAAAATGAATGATCCATGCAATGAGATCTATTGCACGGAAACAAAATATAAATGCCAGACATGCTAACATGTGAGGCGATCGTGGCTCAAGAGTTGGCCGTTCGTCTTGTAATCGGAAGGTTGCCGGTTCGAGCCCCGGCTCGGACAGTCTCGGTCGTTGTGTCCTTGGGCAAGACACTTCACCCATTGCCTACTGGTGGTGGTCAGAGGGCCCGGTGGCGCCAGTGTCCGGCAGCCTCGCCTCTGTCAGTGCGCCCCAGGGTGGCTGTGGCTACAATGTAGCTTGCCATCACCAGTGGGTGGATGACTGGATATGTAAAGCGCTTTGGGGTCCATAGGGACTAAGTAAATATGAGTTAAATACTGGTCATTTAACAAAGAGGAGCCTGAAGGGGAGATTGGAAAAATTGAAATGAGGTATTGCTTTTTTATTATTTTATGGACTGATTTCCAGAACATTTTGGCCCCAACTCATATGAGTTAGTGTGGCCTTAACTTCAAATAAATACATGTTGTTTGTATTTCTTGTGATAGTACTTATGGAACTTACACTTTCTTTGAGGACTAGTTTAAATGGATAGTTATCAATCAATTTGCGCTGACCCCTAAACTTAGGCAGCAATGCTACAGAGGCTATATATCTTAAAGTTCTCATTCATGTAGGTTCTATTGTTTTGTTTCTAATTTAATATGTTGAATATGTCATCTTTATCAAAAGGTGGTTTATTAATATAACAAAGAGATTAAATTTGGAGAAAAACACTGTCCTGGGCATTTGACAGCAACTCCAGGAAATAGAAAAAGCTCAACAAAATGATCAAATAAAACGCATAAATATCAGACACAGCTTCTGATCAGCTTTGTTATTTCTGGTTTTGTTTTGTCATGCTGCTGCTGATTAAGGATTCTGCTTTTCTGAAATTTGATATATCCCTGGCTTAAAGCTACAACATTCCCTTTCAGTTCAAACAGAGGTTTGAGCAGCACTAGTTCAGTATAAAACTCTCTCTTCACCTCAACACCCAGCCCCATTCCGATTACCCAGCTTCGACCTCACTGCCAACTGCTGGCGGAGCTCTTTTCCTCAGCCCCAACCTCAGCGTGCCCCGAGGCTTCCTCTGTGAGCAGTGAGCAATGTGAGTGCTGCAATTCACTCTAAGCATGAAGGCTGAGGACGCTTGGATGCGTCCTGTCGTCATTGTGGATGTGTGGGATAGGAGATCTGGCACACAGTGATGGCTCCATTGTCTAGTTCATTCCTAGTCGTGTGGCTAAAAATGAAGAAAAAATGCAAACGCACACAAGTACAGTATCTTTTTTGGCAGCTTCAGTGGCATCCTTAGAGGATGCCTCCCTTCTCTAATCAAAACAGATGTTTTCCCCCGTGCCATATGGTTCACATACCTTTAGTACTTAAAGCTGCAGGAAAAACAGTTCAGAAAGGGGACATACAGTAAAGTTGGATGTAAGGCTAGGGTATGACGTTCTTCCTAAGCGCTGCTTGTCACCACGCACAGTTATTTAACTCATGTTTTTTTGTGGAAAAATACACCAGTGCTTCTCACAAACAGCGGTCTCATTACAAAGTCTTTATTCAGCACTCGATGATAAGCAAATGAATCCAGGCGGAGAAATTGCTTTTTTGTTTGCAGGCAGTAATTAAGTTAACTGGCTGGTGTTCCCTCATGACTGCTTGAGAGACGGCTGGATTTTACTGGAGCTTTTATTCCCTTTATTAAATGTCTTGTGGTTAGAAAAGCACATCACATCTTGTTATTTGTTTAACAGCTTTTAAAAGAATAGTGGCATTTCCTTTATTAGACTGTTCACAAGTGTGATGCAAGAAATACCTACTGAGTGCAACAGACTTAAAGCCCAAGGGTCCTTCAAACAAAGTTCTGTTCTACCTTTGGTGTTGTTTGGTGCTGATGACACACCTCTTATAGTTTTCTGAAGACTTAGGATTTTAATATTTTATGTGTATTTTTGTTTGTTCAACATATTTTTCATATTATTCAAGCTAAATTTTTAGTCCATATTAAAACAATTTCTTGTAATGTGTGAGATTGTGCATATGATATGTACATATTGTATATACAATTCTGCCAAAATTCTAATTGGATCAGTAATATCCATCCACTCTCTTTAGATGGATGGATGAAGTCTATTCTAGCAGAATCTGTGTTCACTCTGGATAGCCTGCCAGTCCATCACAGACCAGACAGAGATAGAAAGTAATCATAATCACACTTACGGCTCAAATCATCATTTAACCTAACAAACATCTCTTAGAGATGTTGGAGGACTATTGCGTACTTGGAGGAAACCCACCCAGGCACAGGAAGTTGTATTTATATAGCACCAATTTACAACAACAGTTGTTTTGAGAAAGGTACTGAGAGAGGAATCTTTAATGATCAGATTTTTTATGAACAAGTACTTGGTAATGTTGAGAAGGAAGAACTCCTGTTCAACAGGAAGACACCTCCAGCAGCCCCAGGATACAAGGAGGACAGGCATCTACTACAAACAATTGGAACTGAGGGGGAAGTCAAGAGAAGAGTACAGTGACCAAGGACAAAACAACTATGGAAGAAAAAGACTAAATTAATGACATGAAGTAGCGACATATACATGGGAAGATGACAAGTAATGCTCATGGGAAGTCCCCCCAACAGCCTGAGCCTATAGCCGTGTAACTAGGGAATGATTCATTCCTGACTGCAGGCAACAACAACAACAAAAACGTTTTTTAGCCTAATCTGTAAATTATAGAGTGCGTGTGTCTGTCTGGATTGGATTTAGGTGCACAGGAGAGGGCCTGATACCCAAAAGCTCTGTTTTCCATTAGGTTTTTAAAACTCAAGGAATCACAAGTAACAGTTATTGGATTGTTTTTTTTTTCTTTTCCTCGAGTTATAGGTTTTTGTAATCATTGGTTCTTGTCTATTGCTGTCAGTTTTGCTTCCTTTGATAAGTTTCCAATGTTTTTCTTCTGCTCCTCCAGCATTAGTTTAATCTATTTTACCTATTTATTCACTTGGTACCTATCCTGTGTTAATCTCCTGTGTTCAATCAGTTAATCACCCACCCACACAGCCTGAACACTCACAAGCTGTCTCTGAATTTCCTGAAGCAGTGTGCAGAAACAGTTCTCCAGCCTTCTTGAAGGACATTCCAAAGCTCTTCTTTGGATGCTGATTGAGTTTTGTTTCGCTTTCTGTCAAGATTATCCAATTCTGCTTCAGTTATGTTGACCGCTGGGTCTCTGGAGGCCAGTCCTTGACTGATAGTGACTGATACATGCACACGTTGTTGTTAATTTCATTTACACCAAAGCAGCTGAAACTGATTAACAACCTCCTCTGGTATTTAACTGACCAAATTAATATCCCACAAGTTTAATTGACTTGATGCTTTACTCTGATTGAAACATTTTTTGAGCACTTTATATGCAGCCTGTCTTGACTAAAACAGTCATTTTTACCTGACAGAGGAGCCTCCCTTTGTGTGACCTTCTTGTATGTATATGCAAATATTCAAAACAGGGGTATGGGAGGGGCCGGCCCAGCAGTTCTTGTTTATATTGGTTCATGATATCACTGGGTACAACCAATAAGACACATAAGAAATGGTCTCCAGTATGAAGAGTCGGACAGCAGGCTCTGATATTATTCATGCCCAGTGGCTGAACAAACTGACTGCACTCCATGAACATCTGGCAATACAAATGAACCAGCTGTTAGTTGATGAGAGACACCCAGAATAGAAGGCCGGACAGTCCTGATTCCTAAGGACCCCAGAAAGGGAGCGGTCCCATCCAACTGGCCAATAACCTGCCTCGGTACCACATGATGTGGCATACAACACTAGAGGCCAACTTCAAACCCATAGCACAGGTTGCCATCAAGTGCAGGATCTACCAAGGAGATGCTATGTCCCCACTGCTGTTCTGCATAGGTCTGAAGCCCCTCAGTGAGAACATTGACAAGACTGTCTACGGATACTGACTACAGAACAGAGCATCTCCTGTACATGGATGCCATAAAGCTGTATGAAGAGTGAACAAGACAGTGATTCACTGATCCACGCCACCAGGATATACAGCAATGACGTAATGTCATTCGGACTGGAGAAGTGTAGTCGGATGGTAACAAAGAGAGGGAAGGTAGTCAGAACTGAGGGTAGTCAGAACTGAGGGTATCAAACTAACAGAAGGCAACATTGCAGACATACAGGACAGCTACAAGTACCTGGGCATCCCAGGCAAATGGGAACCATGAAGAGGCTGCTAGAAAAGCTGCAACCACCAAGTACCTGCAGAGGTCAGGCAAGTCCTGAGGAGTCAGCTGAATGGTAAGAACAAGATCCGGGCTATCAACACCTACGCCCTGCCCGTGATCAGGTACCCTGCTGGGGTAATAGGCTGGCCAAAGGAGGAGATAGAAGCCACTGACATCAAGACAAGAAAGCTCCTTACCATGCATGGAGGGTTTCACCCCAAGTCCAGCACCCTGAGGCTGTACGCTAAGCGGAAGGAAGGGGGCCGGGGACTGGTGAGTGTCAGCACCACAGTCCAGGATGAGACAACAAACATCCAAGAATACATTGGGAAGATGGCCCCAACTGACCGAGTGCTCAGTGAATACCTCAGGCAGCAGAAACCCAAGAAAGAGGAGGGAGACGAGGAACCATCATGGAAGGACAGGCCCCTGTGGCAGGTGTTGGTCAAGTTACTTGAAAAAAGTAATCAGTAACTAATTACTGATTACTTCCCCAAAAAAGTAATCCCGTTACTTTACTGATTACTTATTTTCAAAAGTAATTAATTACTTAGTTACTTAGTTACTTTTTAAAAACACGATTTACAACCTGAAGAGGTGATAAAGCGATAGATCTTTCAGCCCAATTCTACTTTTTCTACATAATCCATCATACAAAATGTAATCAAATGGAAAAGTCTCTTTTTTTAACTTGTTTTATCAGTTTTAATCTTTTAACTTTATGCATCAAGCAAAAATTTAATTATATGCAACATTCTCTGACTTGAATAAATTAGTTTAACATTTAAACCTATTTTCTGCACATTCCAGCACATAAAATAAAATATTTTTTGTGTTTACACTCAGTCTTTCAAATAGATGCAAGTAAAACACAGCAGAAAATAAATAAAGTCAAAGACTCAGCGGTCCTGTTGCTCTATTTTCACCTGTAAAGCAGGACTGTGGTAGGCGGAGGTTTACCCTGGTGCAGGTGTGCCGCGGTCAGTTGAAGTTTTCTTCCCACGCACGATGGACGCTAATGTTTTTGTCACTTTTTATGGAATCAAACTCAAAGTAAGGTCAGTACTTCCACGCTTTAAACGCTGCACGCTCATACTCTCTCTGCACTCGATATATGATCCATTGTTGATCTGCACACAGCTGTTGTCACGAACGTCGCACTCGCTTACGTCACTGTCATGAGACATTCTCGCAAAAAAATCACGGTTTTAGTAACGCAGTAACGCAGCGTTCCTACGGGAAAGTAACGGTAATCTAATTACCGTTTTTGCAATAGTAATCCCTTACTTTACTCGTTACTTGAAAAAAGTAATCAGATTACAGTAACGCATTACAAGTAACGCGTTACTGCCCATCTCTGCTGCTCGGTATGTACCACTGGCAGATAGAGGAAGCTGCTGACATCTAGAAATTCTACCAGTGGCTGGACAAAGCTGAACTGAAGGCACTAATCATGGCAGCACAGGAACAAGCACAATATCCATAGAGGGAGGCGTCTATCGCACCAGGCAGGACTGCGGTTGCAGATTGTGTAAAGATGCACCCGAGACAATCCAGCACATAACAGCAGGGTGCAAGATACTAGCAGGCAGGACATACATGGAAAGCCATAACCAAGTGGCTGGCATAGTATACAGAAACATCTGTGCCGAGTATGGCCTGGAAGTCCCGAGTTCAAAATGGGAGATCCCCCCCGTAGGGTGGTCAAGAGTGACCAAGCTAAGACCTTGTGGGACTTCCAGATACAGACATGCAAAATGGTCGTGGCTATCCAACCGGACATAGTAGTGATGGACAAGCAGAGGAAGACCGCCGTAGTGATAGATGTAGTGAGACCGAATGACAGCAACATCAGTAAGAAGGAACGTCACTACACACTGCTCCCCGGGCGCTGGATTGGTAGCTGCCCACTGGGTGAATGGGCTAAATGCAGAGGACAAAGTAAAAAAATAAAAAAAATAAAAAAACTATATAATATATATATATATATAAATATATATATAATATAATATAATATATATATATATATATATATATATATATATAATATATATATATATATATTAAATTATTAGGAGAGAAACCCTTCAAACCTTTTCTCTCTGTACAGTGAATCTATAGCACCACAACTCCTAGCCTTAGACTTTCAATGGTACAGCAGGCGGTTGGCTAGGGTTCCTCGCTAGTAGCACACATGTTAAGGAAAGGCCAGAGTGTTTTTGTCATCCTTTTTGTTTTGAGACCTCGGCTGGGGGAGAAATATACTGATATATATCAGTATAATATATCTTTGGAGCAGCTTTCTGCCCACTGGACTCAACACGGCTCATCTGTCAAGCACTTTTATACGCGTGCATTCTCAGTCTCGTAGGGGAGGCCTTAGTATCAGTGCATGAGCAGTCCACTTTTTATGCAAGAATTCTCTGTTTTGCTGTTCTTGCTGGCCAAGGGCTCCTCATCTCTACACTGACTCCTCTCATGTGGTCACCCTGCAGTGATCAACAAGGACACTAGTCTCTTTGCACGGTGGGCTTAGATGTCAGTGTGCAAAATAAATGTGGATGGAGAAGGGAATGTGACATTTAATTTGAGTAATGTGTTTTTTTACCCTTCACTTTAAATCTGCTGGAGAAACAGCTTCAAATGAGATATTTCCAATGCGGGTGCAAATGCAAATTTGTTTACTTTGTTACTTAATTATTTTGTTTTACCTATAGCTTTTTGTTTTCTGTTTTCCACGTGGCGCTGCTGTGTGGTATCTCTGTATGATGGCTGTTTGTTCAGTCATGCTGAAGCCACAGCCAGTCACATAATCGGCTCAGCCTTGTTTGTTGCAGCTGAAAAAGATATTGCAATGATAAGTGGCAGGGTAAAATGGTACAAAATCCTATAATAAAGACTGAAATCACTGGATTTTGCAAGCTAAAAAATATAAGAGAATATGTTGTATTTTAGCCTATAAAATCACAAATTAATAATTAAATGTCTTGAATTAATATTAAACCGTCTTTAAGGACAGATTTAGGAAAAAGGAACAAATGCAAAAGATGTATAAAGAAAATTGTAATGAATGTTCCTCTTTAACTCATAAACCTTCTTTTCCCTTGTTTAATGCAGGACTTCCTGGGCCAGGCCTTCTGCACACTGGGTGAAATTGTCGGCTCCCTGGGAAGCCGCTTAGAAAAACCTTTGACGTAAGTGGCACACACCACACAATGCACGCACAATGACCAACAGTCAGCACACTCTTGGAATATGATTTTTGCCATTTTAAAGTGATGGGCAAAAATATTTGTATTACATTACTCTAATCTGGGAGTCAATGGGTAGCTCAAAGAAGCTGTTAAAATTTTAGATCATGTAGGCGTGAACTGAAAAGCAGCATGTGATTTTAAGATTGCCATTGTTTGTCTTCGAAGTGAAGCAGCAGCATGAAAATGAGTAATGATGTTGATGAAAGCATACACTGCCTCCAACAGCCAAATGAGATGAACACTTTAACAGCAGTAGAGCTAATGACAGACTGCAAACATGCTGAGATGGTAAAAATCAAATATTGAAAAAGGACAGTTCACCCAAAGTGAATGTGTCAGTGATGAGCTCACACCTCCTTTTTGTAGAAGCCTTAACTGAACTTAAGACTTAAAGAATCTCATCAGAGATATTTTAAAATGAATGAATCTGTGATTTCATCCTCTCGGTCGCTAATTATAGCAGGAAAAAAAAGCAGTGATTAGACCTGTAGCAGTTCATGTCAGATTTACGCTCGATGGGGTGTTTATGTTAGCTTGGAAGCATCCTCTAGTGCACAGGAAGTCTGTCCCCTGCTAGCATTTTTGACAGTTTCTCTCCAGTATTAGCTAGTACTGACAAAAATAAACATAAACAGTGGAGTAGTACATTCAGAGGAAGAACCGAGCTGTTAGCCTAACTGCCAACATGCCTTCCATACTGAACAGAATTACAATTATCATCACACAAGGTTTGACATTACACAATCACAATTCAATCGTCAATTTCAAAAAGTACTAACAAGTCTGGTTTGAAAACATTGTATTTTGAAGTAATGACTAATTGTCAAGGTTCCCAGCTTTTTAATCGTACTAGTTGTAGTAGGATTCATTATTCACCAGTAGATCAGCAGATTCAGGTTTATCTATCTCATAGGCATAAATTTGTTCACAACTGATCAAACCTGTGAATAGGTTCAAATTACAGGTGAAAACAACTTTGGAAGATACAGAACTATGCAAAGGTTTTAGCTACTTGAGGTATTCTTCAACTTGTACATTAACGACATCTGTAAAGTGTCCAAAGTATTAAAAATGGTTCTCTTTGCTGACGATACAAACATTTTTTGCTCTGGTGATGATCTGCAGAATTTATTGGAGGATATGACTAATGAAATAAGTAAAGTGAAGTTCTGGCTTGATAAAAATAAATTATCATTAAATTTGAATAAATCTAAACTTATGTTATTTGGAAATAGTAGTTTAAATACAAATGCAAAGATTCAAATAAATGGTGTTGATATTGAAAGAGTCAGTGAAAATAAATTTCTGGGGGTAATAATAGATGAAAAACTTAACTGGAGAGCTCACGTAAGATATATTCATTCCAAAGTATCACGAAGCATTGCAGTACTAAACAAGGCAAAACAGGTATTCGACAGAACATCACTTCATATTCTCTACTGTTCACTGGTTTCACCATACTTAAGCTATTGTGCAGAGGTCTGGGGCAATAACTATAAAACCACATTACATTCACTTTTTACTCTTCAAAAAAAAGCAATTCGAATCATCCACAATGCAGGTTATAGGGAACATACAAACTCACTATTTTTGCAGTCTGAAATATTGAAAATTGACGATATAGTGAAATTCCAAACAGCACAAATTCTATTCAAAGCAAAAAATAAAGAACTGCCAGGTAATATTCAGAGTATGTTTTTTTTGAAAGAAGGAAGTTATAATTTAAGGGGTTTTTGTAACTTCAAAACAATGAAGGTACGTACTACAAGAAAAGGCTTTTGTGTTTCTGTTCATGGAGTGAAACTATGGAACAAACTGAATATGGAATTAAAGCAATGTCCAAACATAAAACTGTTCAAAAAGAGTTATAAAAATATGATCTTCTCGAACTATAAAGAAAAGGAAAATATTGAAATTAAGTGAATGTCTCTATTTAAAAACAAACAAACAAACAAAAAACTCATGATGTGATATTATAGTATAAAGTATATCAGAAATCTGTTCACTATTTTTATTACAAAATATATCAGTAAGGAAGTTGACTAAATATTAACTGATAATTTATGGCAAAGGGGTGGGATTAAATAAGTGTGTACTTCTTCCCACTCCCTTTCAACATGTAAATTAATCAGAACTTTTTTTTTTTGTATGTAATTTGTATAGTATTTTTTTCTCTCTTATTTTCTTTTCTAAATGTACTTGTATATTGTTCACATGTTGAAATAAATTACCAATCAATCAATCAATCAATCAATGGGTTTAGTGACAAGAAGAGCAAGTCCAGCAATTTCTTGGTTCAAATACAAATAATTTATCAGTATGTAGGGCAAAGGTCAGGAGAGAGGTACAACGGTGAGTATCCATAGCCATTTGTAAAACACAGTGGAGGCTCTGTCATGGTTTGAGGCTGCAATTTATCCAGCTCTGTTGAGGAGCTCATCTACTATCACACTCTGCCAATCCAGTAAAAACCATACCTGGGTAGAAAAGTGCATAATGGAACACTATCATTCATATTGGGCCTCCCCGGATCTTGGACATCAACGTAGGATCGTCTTAACAGAATAAATGGAACAGAAGGCAGCTAACATCCAGAAAGAAGTTAAATTTTTTTTCACGTAGAACAAAATACAATAATCATATTGACTTCAGTGATGCACAGAATGCGTTTTAGTCTGCGACAATTTCAACTCCACCCGCACACTTTAAAAAAACATGGCAGTGGATTGTCAGACCTTTAGATGGAGTTGATCGGCTATCCAGATTTGTATCCAGATGTAAGTCTTAAATTAAATAGGGAAGTCAAAAGTACAGACATTTGCTAATATATTCTCATGAGTTTTGAATGCTTCATGGGTATTTAGAAAATCTAAAACAGTTCAAGGTTCTTTAAAAATATTTCATTAATACTTTAAATATAAACAAGGCGACTGCACGAATACAGCCCAATTTAAAATTACACAGAAGTGAGAGTTTTGTTTACTGCACGAAGGCTCCTCATAAATCATGGACCAAAGTTTCCTTGGAAAGCTTTCTTGTAAATTCTCCAAGAGGTCTTCAGACTTCTTTTTGGTTGTTAGCTGCATCCTGATATTATTGCAGCTTCAACCCACAGAGCAGAACTAAAGAACCTGTTCGTCTTGTTTTAATTTTCCACCAAAGACAGTGAGCCATCAGCTGTCCAACCATGGTCTGATCCCCATGTCCTCCAGTGGGTGTCCTTTTTGTGTGTGCATATGTGTGTGTTAGAGTGAGCGAAAGGGAGAAATTGAGTGAGCTGAAAGTAAGTGGCCATACTGGCATCTACATCCATTAGTGTGTGTCTCTCTCTGTCAGTGAGTGTGTGTCTGTGTGTGTCAGAATCAACGAGCGGTTGGAACTGAATGGGTTTCCTAAAGAATGATACACAAGAAATATGATGTAAGAATGTGTTGCTGTCACTAAGTTATGTAATCATCTCTGCCCGCAGTCATTCACTGTCTTTTAGATTTGTGATTGTGTGTGCTTATTTGTGTCTTTGTGCTTTCTTTCTAGCACCTACATGTTTTATTTGTAACTTTTTTTAGGATTTGTGAAGATATTTTTAGATATTCGTCATTATTCTGCAATTGATATTTGCAAGTCTGGGCAGCTGTGTGTGTGTGTGTGTGTGTATGTGTGGGTGTGTTACTTTGTTTGTGCTCCTTCCCAAGTTGAAAGCATTTCACTCCTGCTCAGTCGAGTGGCTCTGGATCATACAAATAAAAATAAAGCAGCAACAACAACAAAAATAGAAGAACAACTGTAAACCATAGACTGTATATGGATGATGGACTATTTTTTTGGACTACCTCTTTGAACCCTTGAATGTGGCATTTTATTTGTTGTCATCTGGACTTCTGGATGCCAAAAGTGACAATATTTGGATGAGAATGTAAAGTTATCGGCTGAAGTTAGCTTACTTTGTTAGCAAGGTGTTACGGCCCTAGCAGGGCCTCCTCCTGAAGGTGCCTGTGTGGGCGTGTCCTTCAATCTCTTCTGCCCGAGGTGCCACCCTTTCTCTTTTACACAGCTGACTCACATCAGTAATTAAAGGGATTTAAGCTCAGGGACAGGTGAGCTCTGGGCCAGAGTGCCATGTGAATGGTTACAGCGAGTGAGCTGCTCTCTCTTTTTGACTTACGTTTTACTTTATTGACCAACGCTTGAGTTTTGTTTTTCCTTAAATGGTGAAAGTGGCTTGTCCGTCTCTTTTAGCTGAATATTAATAGAAACTTTAATGAAACTCTTTAATTTATCCATTTTGCCTCTGTCTCCTTTTTCTGACACGGACATATTTTGTTACTTCCCCCCCCTCATCGCCTAGACCCCTTTTAGGTGAACGTAACACAAGGCACATCCAGCAACTGTATTGGTGTATGGCACAGATCCAGATACTTGGTAATTAAAGCTAACATAAATGTAATCATTGAAAAAGCTCAGCACAGATGTTTTGGAAAGCCAATTCCAAAAATGGAATACTGTGTAAACTGCAAATTTCATAAATCCATATTTTATTAATAACAGAACAGAAGTGAGAAAATGCACAATTTTTAAGAAGTATTTTTGGGGAATTCTTAGCCTTTATTATGATAGGAGAGTTGAGAGTGCAAAAGGAAAGCTGGGAGAGAGAGCAAGTGGAAGATGGAGAGAAAATGGCCCGGGGAGGATACAAACCCAGCTCTCTGCAATACCCTCACAGCATATGGGTCATTTGCTTAGTGACAACCAGAACATGTACCATTTTAAGAAAAATATTAGCTCATTTTGAATCTTTGTGTACTTAAGTTTGTAAAAACAGCACATGTTCACTAAACAGCCTCGATTTTGCAGCTTCTATATACAAATACACAAAAAAAAAACTGCACTTTTTATTCAAAGTAAATGTTGAGTCAATCACCATATTGATGCTACATACCCTGGGTAATTTATGTGCCAGTTTCATCAAGATTGAATCAGTTTTTTAGGAGTGAAGGTGTAGCTGCTTTATAGCATATAGCTTTATCAGTAAAGAACATAAGATTGAGGCTAATTTACACACGTGTAAGATACTGACTGTGAGCACTGAAGGGGATCACAGACTAAAATTCCATTTCAGTGACACTTGTGATGTCACGCACTGATGGTGTCAGGCTTCCTCTACAGTTTTTTGTACTCCATGATTTACGCACTGTGTTCTTCCACTGTTTCTCTCTGTGGCTCTGTCCATCTCTTTTTTGTTCTTTGTCTCACCATTTCTTCCATCTGGCCCCTTACTGAGCAATCTCTCCATGTACAGTGGCTTCATTTCACTGAAGCTTCCCTGTTCATCCAAAGATGCCTGTGAATCTCAGGCGATGGAGAAATTGTCAAAAACTTGCTTAGATCAGCCATAAATTTCTCAATTTTCTTATTTGTTTAAGGCGCTTTCTGGCATTACTGGACATTACTTAGCCAAAATAAATGATCTCTACCCTTCCTTACTCTGGAGCAGGCCTGGGGTCTGTGGCATTCATTTTGTCTATTTTTAGTGGTCAGCCTCCCTTGGCTTTATTGGCTGAATATTACGCTTCGCCTGCTCAGGATGCAAACAAACATTTCAGCTGAAATGTCACTGGATGTGGTTTGCATTACTTTGATGTTCTTTTCTGAAGGTTTTCATTCAGCATTAATTGATATTTACAAATGCAATCAGGCAGTGACTGCAAGAGAAAACATGAAGAGGAGAAATTAGATGCAGCGTCTCCTGAAATTCTCTCATTTTCAACATTTTGCTGAAACTCCTGATCAACCTTAAATATTCTTATCATAAATATTTGCCCAAAACCCCAATCTGTGGTGAAAAGAAATGCCACAGGAAGATGAACAACCAAGAATTCACAATTTCAGATTAGAATGACAAAATGCAGTTTAAAATGTAATGAGTAGTATAGATATACTAAGAAAAAAAACTAAGATGACAAATAATACTGTGAAGCACTAAATATAGTATCCATGCAGTAATAGAACAGACATATACAGCGTAAAATAGATTACATTTAAAGCATTTACACTGGAATCAATGCGGTCAATTTCCTGTTTTGTTTTTCTTTTTTCTAGTGGAATCCCAGGAAAGAAATGTGGCACTATCATAGTGAGAGCAGAAGAAGTGAGCAACTGCAGGGTAAGAGTCTGTTTGGTTCACCTGTTGGCCATTTTGAAGTGGACTTTTCAGACTTTGAGATGCTGTGCTTTATTTATCTGTATTCTCGGGTTATTTTGTCTTCTTCAAGTAAAAATCACACAGATCGAACTAAAATTGTCCAACATTTTAATATTGTTTTCACACATAGAATACACGTATTCGTAAGCTTTACACACGACTTTGCACTATGGAGTTGGAAGGATAAAAATAAAGCATTTAATTTAATGTCAAATACCCCCATCTTAGTTAGAAAGGCTAGTTACTTGTGTCGTCAATATAGTCATATATTTAACAATAACTATAAATGAGAAACTGTGCTTCTCCCTCTGTGAGACACATAATCCATTGTTGGTTAATTCACCTGCTTTTGATGCTAATGAAATGAAATTCCCCCTAAAACTGGAATGCTTTTGCAGGTTTTGCAGGTGGCCACAGACCTTTGCTCTGTCCTGAATGGTGCTGAGCTGTGTGCACAATAAATGATGCTGGGACCTGATCCCATGTTCATGTAGTCTGTTTCTGACAATATAGCCAGAAACATGCACATGAGTAGTCTGCTGGAGGGCGTTTTGTAGGGCTCTGGCAGTGCTTCTCCTGTTTCTCCTCCCACAAAAGAGCAGACACTGGTCCTGCTGCATGGTACAGCCATGTCCAGCGCTCCCTGTGCCTATCTCCTAGTATCTCTTCCAAACTCTTGAGGCTGTTTTGGGAGATACAGCAGACCTTCTTGCAACAGTGCAAATGTGCAACCTGAATGTGCTGCAGGCATCATCTTGTGCTCCCAGTAGTGAATCTGTCCACCCAAGCATTCAGTTAATATAGAAAGCAGATATTTCTGAAGGGAAGTTCTCTGATATTCTGGGCTCAAGTCTTTTATTTGCTGACATTTTTGTACAACATCATACAGTCAGACCCATGTGTTAGCGTCAATCCTTTAAAACCAAAGAACCATTTTGCAGCAAACTGCTACAAAGATAAATTAATTATAAAAGTGACAGAGATGCCAGTTGACTGTGTAATAAAATCAACCAATTCAATCAATTAAATCAATTCACCAAACAAAAAGCCATGGGATCAAAAGGAAAATAACACAAAACAAATATATATAACACACATGCACAAGTCTTCACCATCCTATTGACCAATATGAATACTTTTTGTATTAATAGCAGGTCATATTTTATGTCTTTAGAGCACTTCTGAGGCAGTGTGTCATGTTTGTTTTGGTCCCTTTCTTCCTCTTTAGGAGTCAGTGATGTTACAGTTTTGTGGGAACAAGCTGGATAAGAAGGATTTCTTCGGAAAATCAGATCCGTTTCTTGTGTTTTACCGCAGCAACGAGGACGGATCGTAAGTTGACAAGTGACTTCTTATTGATATCCAGCGATTACATACTCAGCTATTATACACATAAAAACACACATGCAAAAATTTCTGAAGTACATATAGACTCCGAGCATGACGGTTAATGCTCTAAAAGCTTATACACGGAGGACGTACAGTAGGAGCTAAGCCGCCTGTGTGATGTTACATAATGCTTCCTGTTGTATGAGTGACTTATGCCTTCCATTCAGAAGCCGTAGATGCAGAGGTGAGCGGAAATAATAGCACAGAGTTGACATGAGAAACATAAAGAGAGGATGGATGGATAAGACAGAGTTAAGTGAAAACTGCGTGTGGAGGTTGCAGTTTCTTTGCCCTGAAGATGCTTTTATTCAAGTCGACTTCAGCGTCTCGCACTTAACACATTTTCTTTTAGTGCAGCTGGGTATTTACTGATGCAGCCTAAATGTTCCGCCGCAGGGTTTAACAGCAGCAAGCCGTGGTTACAAAGAGCCAGTCCTGATCCCTCATAAAACAGAAACTGGAAGCTGTTTCTTCAGCTAAGGGTCAAGCTTCCTGAAACGCATTTTAAATGATGCTCTCCCTCAATGATAAGGAGAAGAAGCACTGAGGGCTTTGTTTTTGTTTTGTCTTTTTCTTTAACTTTGTATGTCTCGCAGGTACACCATCTGCCACAAAACAGAGGTGGTGAAGAATACTCTGGATCCAGTGTGGCAGGCTTTTAAAATTCCCGTCAGGGCGCTGTGTAATGGTGACTATGACAGGTATAGTAGGACACACAAGGGGATGCATGAATGTTTACAGTTAAATGGAGAGAATATTAATATACACAACAGGAACAGGAATATAGGTGAGCATATTTTTAAGCAGAGTCAAGCCAAGACATGTTTGGATTTGTTTGTGTTCTTATTGCGGCACAGATGGAGAAATTCTGGGTTAATAACTTTGTTTAAAATAATAATTTGGCTGATAACTCATGTATATGCTAATATTCCTTTTTGTGTGTCTAATTCTGTTTTGGTCTGAAAGTTAAAGTTTTTAGCTCTTTATCGTCCTTTGAATACTAAATAGGCACAGACAAGACTTAGGTAAACTAGATGTTTGGGCGATGTTTAGGAGCTCCTTTGTATGGAAGCCCGTTTCTGCTACTAAATTTTAAAAAAGTATCCATATCTCAAAATTTCAAGTTATCTTTCTCGCAATTTTGACTTAATAACTCGAAATTTTGAGAAAAGTAACTCAAAATTTCGAGTTAGCGCTGCCAATCAGTAATCTATGTGGAATGCGCACTCAAAACTGTATCGCAACAAACTGGCGCTTTCGAGAGTACGTTTGTAGATAGCAAGGCCATGTGATTCAGCTAATAACACAAAGATTCCATCATTTGTGAAGCCACGATGAAAATAATTAGCAATTTGTGCATTCATGACTGGCTGTAATACCGGTAACTTAGCTGTAGCGTTTGTAGCTGAGGGCTTCAGCTTCCGGGTAACAAGGAAATGACAACAATCACGTAGATTACCGATTGGCAGCCCTAACTCGAAATTTTGAGCTATTAACTCAAAATTTTGAGTCAATTTTTTTGACATTTTGAGTTAATATGTTATTAGCTCAAAATTTCCAGAAAATAACTCAAAATTTTGAGAAAGATAACTCAAAATTTCAAGTTATGGATACTTTTTTTTTTAAATTTAGTGGCAGAAACGGGCTTCCATACCTTTGAGATCCTTTTAAAAATTATTTAGTAATAAGTAGTAAGTAAGTAAAGCGCTTCCTTACTGTTAGCTTGCAGAAAAATGATGCATGCTAATGACAGTTTACTGTAGTTACCCAGGTTTTTACAATTTTAGTACAGTGTAACTCAGGTAGTGCGACAGGCCAGGAGTTAAACTAAAGAAAATGCTATAGAAGAGTTACAGAAATGACCAGGTTCTGACATGTTAGCATTAACATGAAGATCCAATCGGAAATAAAATTAGACAACTTGGATCTTCAGAAAGTCCTGACTGATACAGCTATAAGCCATTCTTTCAATTGTTTTAAAGGACTACAGTCAACAGATATGAGTGTCAAACTTTGTTTTTTCATGGATAATTTATTTTTAACCTCCTAGGACCTGGCATCCACATATGTGGACATCACATTTTGGGTTGTCTAGACCAAAATACTAAATTTTGCTCTACAAGTGCCTGATATCCTCGTACGAGGACATTATACTCCCACTGTTCTATCAAAATTTAAAATGAATTTCAGAAACAAAAATCAGGTTAAAAAAATAAATAAATCAGGTAATTCTTTGTTTTTACATTCATCAGGTCCCAATCAGCCCAAATAGCAGAGAGAAATTAAAAATGCATGCCATGAAAGAGTTGCTGTGCCATAAAAGAGCATGCATAAAAATATAACAGTAGAATGCAATACTGTTACAGTTAAATGCTTCAGAAATCGTTAGAACACAGAGCTGTAATTAACATTTTAATTTTATTTTGTTGCAGAGTGCACTCTTTGTACAGGTGTCTATTTCTAAGGTGACAGCTACAGATTAAAGATTTGGAACCTAAACCTGGATACATTTAAGCATTAAAGCTTACCAGACCGTAGTCTTAGAAAGGAGATGTAGAAACTTCTTTAGTTTGTCTAGAACTTCCTCTCTTTGCTGAGGACATGTGCATTCCACAGACCAGTGGCCAGCTCTATAAACAGAAAAATAGTAAATCTGTGGTGCTGATTGATTTTTCTTAATGGGATTTCACTCAATCCACTTGTTTCTCTGCACAGGAGCATTAAGGTGGAGGTGTACGACTGGGACAGAGATGGAGGGTGAGAGAGCAATGCTTTCCTGCATGTTAAAGCTACAGTGTGTGGTGCAATGGTCCATGAATTTATGCAGTATCATTATTTAATGTATTAAAACTACATTCTAAAAAGAGAGATACCAGCGAGACTGTTATTGTGTGTTCTTAAAATCCAAAAAAGCTGCCCTGATAACATCAGAGCATATGTGCAAAGTAGGGAAGTGCTTTTGGGATTTTGCTAACAGACCACTCTCCAAAATGGATGTCCTTATACACACTCTTGTTTTTCACTGTTAAAGAGTAGACACTGCGGAAAAATATCTCAGCAGAGCCCTGCACGTGACAACGCTCCCTTCTACTTCAAATATACAACACATTAATTATTAATATTTTCTGAACTGTCTCTCAATGGTTACCTTCATGGTGTCAGGCAGGGAATAAAGATCGTGTTTATCTTTTGAAGCAAGTGAATTCCCAGTACTCAGGGGCACAGTTTGCCCCTTCATTGTTCATTTCATACACAGTTTGTGACATTTCAAGGGCGTTTTGCCCTGAGCTCCTATTAATATCTGACCCTGAATTCCAACTCTGCTGATTATCTCTGTGAAATTACATAAATGGTTTCTACACCCACGCCTACAGTAACCAATGAGCTTCTCAGTGATAGTCCTGCTCCTTGAAGAAGACTTCAAATATTATGCACACTACAAACAAATTGATCCAATCTGTTATTCTCTAGCAGGCATTTGGACCATTCCTCTTGTCATTATTATTATTTTTACTTTTCCTGACACAGCTTTACTACAGTGTTTCCTGTTTTTAGCAATGGCCTAATGTGACTCTGTGTGTGTTCTTACAGCCACGATTTCATCGGAGAGTTCAGTACAAGCTACAGGGAAATGTCCAGAAGCCAGTCACAGTTCCACATCTATGAGGTGATAATCCAACTCCTTTTCCCCACACCTTTCATAATATTAATTATTCATTATTCTCTCATCACGATATCTAATTCAATTCAATTCAGTTTTATTTGTACAGCGCCAAATCACAACAGTCGCCTCAAGGCGCTTTATATTGTAAGGTAGACCCTACAATACATACATAGAGAGAAAAACCCAACAATGAGCAAGCACTTTGGCAACAATGGGAAGGAAAAACTCCCTTTTAACAGGAAGAAACCTCCAGCAGAACCAGGCTCAGGGAGGGGCGGCCATCTGCTGCAACCGGTTGGGGTGAGAGAAGGAAAACAGGATAGAAGACATGCTGTGGAAGAGAGCCAGAGGTTAATAACAGGTATGATTCAGTGGAGAGCGGTCTATTAACACATAGTGAGTGAGAAAGGTGTCTGAAGAAGAAACACTCAGTGCATCATGGGAATCCTCCAGCAGCCTACACCTATTGCAGAATAACTAAGGGAGGATTCAGGGTCACCTGATCCAGATATCTAACCAAGACATGAACCTTCAAACAGCTATTTGAGCTCGTAGAGCGGTGTTAACATATTATTAATGTGAGGGGTTTACACAGCTTACGTGTCAACACTGTAAGGGTAATACTCTCTGATACACCCACTGAACGAGAATAAAACGTGCTTCAGAGACTGTTACCCACTGTTGCATGCCGTTGCACAATGTTTAAATAAAACATGTCATTCAACCTGGAAACAGCAAAATGCTGTGCCCCATTTTCAAACTGAACATACCCGAGGCAAGTTGTTATTAAAAAATATCCTCACAAACATTTTAACTAGTCCATGCAGGAGATCGGGCATTTTTAACAAAGAGAATGCTTTGAAAAAAGTGGAAATAATTCAAACGCATGTAGTTTTTCACTTGAATATAGGACACATTGTGCAACTTCAAAGCATTTATAGCGTAATCTCTGTACAACAGTTAGTATACAACAGAAGCTGCACAATAATTAGAGCAATACCAGGAGGACATGTGATCTGGAAAGCTTCTATGTTGTGGTCAGTCTACAAAAGATTAGAAAATTATTGTTGGATTTATTCACTTTTCACTGATTTAAAGTACACATTTTTCATGCTATATTTTCAAGTTGAAACCAACTGTGGTCACACAGTTTAAACAAATGATTTAGTTCATGCCATGCTCAGGACAGCTGTATTTTTCAACCTCAGTGCCATTAAGGTTTAATACTTTAAATTTGGTGCCATGACAAATAAAGTAAATACTTCGATCTAATAAAATTTTATAGGCTACAAAGCACTAAATAAAAAGAAACAGCTAAGTAATGATATCAAGTCATTAAATAAAAATAATTGACATTATCATGAAAAACTGGAATACTAGAGTAAAGAACTGCAGGTCTGTGGGACTGAAGTGGGTCGGATGAGGCTCACTTCTATCTTTAATCACAGCATTGCGTCCATACAGAAGAACATTTACAGTAGTTTTTCCCCACACACTGCAGCGTGAGCACAGGCTCAAAGTCAGGAAAAGTCATTTTTTTCTGTGTAATGTGAACATAAGTTTTGTCTCTCTTCCCCCTGGGGCCAGAAAGCTAGATGAATAAAACCAGACAAACACATTCATCAGAGGTTGGAATCTGACTGCTCTTACGTTCGTGGATTGTCAGTATACGATGCATCACCTTGATCCGGTAGTTTATAATACCAGGTGCACATGTTCTGAGTTGCATATTTTACGTTATGTTTGAGTTTTGTCCGAGTCAACATTTTCTAGAGCCACCTTCGAGTGTCATTTCTCACCAGTGGGAGTGTATATTATCTTCCTATAGTTTTCAGCAGTTTTTGCCTGTCCCAAGGAGGTTTGTTTCAGGGTTCAAGGATATCTTTCTGCTTGATCGTGAGGTGGCGTTTAGGGCAAGTTAGAAGTGAATTTCTAGTCTGGATCCAACAATTTTGGCAAGAGTTCCTCAGCATTGCTTGATAGGACAAAATTGCTAATTTCACATCATATTTGAACGAGCAAATTGTAAAAAGAAAACAATGGTAGAAATAGTCTTTTCTATACAGTCTTTGATTGCTCTTGTTATTTATTTGTAGCTCACATAATAATCTAAAATGTAAAAGACTCACTTTATTGTTGTGTTCATTTGTATTCCAAAGACTGAAATGGAGCATTATAGCTGGGATTATACACGGATTCTTTAATTACAGTGATTAACAGGCTGATATACAGCCATCCAGATGGAACTCACTAATATGTGTACTGCACGCTGTTAAGCAAGTTCCCTAAACGGCTGTGCTTCCCTCTTGTCCTCGTTGCAGTTTGCTGACTGGTGTATCAGCCGTGTTCAAGCTAAGCATAAATCACTGAAAGTTAAGAGTCAGTAAAACTATGAAGCATAATCTGGAGAATAGATGTGGGGAGAGCAGGGTGCTCTCTCCACTCTCGTGTGATGTAACTGGGGGTTATCAAATCATTTAGACCAGTGCTGTCTTCAGCTTCATCAATCCTTAGCTCAGTTTTTAATTTTCTCCAAAACAGAGAAAATCAATTGTTCCTTGAGCAGAGGACAAGTAATAGAATACAAAATGAAGTGTGTGAACATGTTCTGAAAAATGTTTGGGGAGTGTGTACACTCTGTTGGAAGCCTCTATTGGAAGCAGTGTCCTGTGGCATTTGGAATACATGAATCTGAAGAGGGAGAGTAAACAGAGCTATTTCCATCAGTAACACCCACTGCAGTGTGCTGATGGAGATTCAGACATGTTTAGTTTTAAGAAGGCATGTGTTTTAATTTATGGAATAATCTGTTTTGATGATTCAAACTGATTTCTACACAGGTGCTAAATCCAAAGAAGAAGGGGAAGAAGAAGAAAAAGTACCAAAACTCAGGAACGGTATGCTGTTATTGTTACTCAAGTTGTCCTAATATGTTGTCTGAACTTTCATGCCATGTACCGATACAAAGTGATGCCATATAAATTCTGTACTTCCAATGTTCCCTAAAACCTTTCTTCTGCAATATCATAACAGTGCCATCCTCATTTTTATGTGCGTGAAGCATCTGATGTTTACTGTTATCATCGCTAAACTTAAGGATTAAAGTGCCTTATCAAAAATGGATTTTTTTTATTGGTGAGATGTATAGAGGATTTTATCTCAGGTTATTTTCTCAAATATCCCCCTCAATGTTCAGAAATGTTTGGTTTGTTTTCTCATATTTTCCTTACAGTGGTGCAAACGTCATATTAACAGTCCATTAAGAATCGGCTTACATCCACTGTTTTCAAGGTCAACTTAATATTTTATTAGTTAAAAAAGCCTTATAACTTAAAAACTGTAATTTTTACAAGTATATTGTCCTCATATGGAATGTACTGGATAACAATTTGAAATATTTCACATTTGACCTCTGACCTCTCCTTCAAGGTCTAAGTCTATATAATGATACTATATATATGGTTAAACTATTTCTTACTGCCATTGTTTGTTTTGACAAAACATTGGCATATAGAGAATTATATAATGATATATACTGATCCTAAATATCACATTACTTGGACTTCTTTCTTTCTTCTTCAAGGTCAAACATGTAAAACTCATAAAATGTCTTTTATGTTTAAAACTACATTTAAAATTCTGCTGACTTTGTTTTTGTTACCAACATGTAGGAAATGCTGCTGGTTTATGTGGACTCTAAATATCACATTATAGTTTACATTAAAATATCATATCATATTTGACCTCTGACCTCACTCTAACATTTCACATCTGTCTTTGTTTCAAGTTGACCAAAATTACATTATTTTTTACTGAACTACAAGAACAAAGAAAATAAAATCAAGATATAGAAAATACAAAACAGTTTCCTTAAAAGTAAATACTGCCTAGAGAACGTGCTGCCTTGGTGGGGTTTTTCGCTCTCAGCACTTCTTGATTCTCCTTTATGGTTTTACCTTAATTCTGGCATCTCGACACACACCTTGTCATCTGTACCATGAGCTGAAAAAGTTCTGAGCCACCTGCACTTTGCTTCTATGGGAGCTGCTTGACATGAAGCTCCCAGTGCAGAATTTTTGTGGTGATGTTACATGCTCATCTGGGTTCAAAAGCAAATCCCCCCCCCCCCACACACACACACACACACACACGCACATGCAGATAAAAAAATCCTAATCTGGTTTATTTTCTCTATGTCATCTCTGCATGTGTTGGTGTGTTTAGTCTTATTTAGTCTTAGCTTAATAAAATACTATTAGAATTATAAAATAGCATAAAAACCACAGTGGAGCAAAACAGAAAAGATCACAGCCCTAAAAAATAAATGTTAGAAACATTTGATCAGTGGTGTAAAAATGTCTCATCAGAGAATCAGGTGCTACAGTGACAGATTCACACTGCACAAGTACTTCCTGTCTAATTGGCGCACATGTCTGCCTGCAGGTCACTCTGCTGTCCTGCCTGGTGGACACTGAGCTGTCTTTCCTGGACTACATCAGAGGCGGGTAAGGTCACAATAATTGATAGCATACAGTACTCAATTAGGCAGCAACATTAATGTCATCATTAAATTCTGAATGGCCTGGAGTTAGCAGTGTAGACGCAGCAGAGAGGACTGCCGCTGCCTTTTATCTCCCACTTCCAAAATGAAGACAGACAGCTGCCGATAACCTGCTGCTTAATTGCTCATGCTGCGTGCTTTGAAACATGCTATCATATAATCTGGCTCGATTGATGGCTCTCTGTTTCTCCTCATGTGACTTATTTATTCTGTTCTTTTATTTCTTGTAGGACTCAGATTAATTTCACAGTGGCAATTGATTTCACAGCATCAAATGGTGAGTGTTTTAAAGCTCTGTCCACATATTATTGAAATCTCTTTAGTGTATCAACAGATAAAATGTTGCAGGCTAACGATCAGACCTTTATATGATTTGAACCTTTAAGAGACTGCTTATCCGCTCATTTGATGGCTCTTCACCCCTTAACTTGACTAAGAAGATAGAACGGCTGAAAGCTGGATAATTATTAGAACGCTATCTGTTGCTCTAAATCTCTGAGCTCAGCTTGATTTTACTTGTTAGCCAAAAGTTTCTGCCTCTCTGGAGAACGAAAGCCATTACTCCCACATTTTGCCCAAATTTATTTTCAGTTTAGATTGTTGTGTTCATGTAGTGGCGGTTTATAAAACCCACAGGAAAACCACAATGCATTTATCAGAACAACTTAACGTCAGACAAACAAAATGAGCTATTCTGCACGGATGACTTTGTCAGGGATGAGTAATGTTCTCATTTCAGCAAAAGATGATTTAGTGAGTCAATATATGTTATACAATTTTAGAGACTTCTTTCTGCCACAAGAGATATTAATGAGTTTCTGTGCTGCCATCAAAGCAGCTCCCACACTGTAAAGTAATAGTGGTGTGATGCATCTATTTATAATGTATGCATATTATCTTCATTAGTTTTTCTTTGATCCTATTTGTAAAACAGGTTGTTCCAGACTGTTACAGCTGTCTCATTTCTTTAATAATGTTGCGCAAACAAAGCCGTAGGCTACAAGTTTTCTCAAACCCAAAGCCAACGCTGAACTCATTTCAAATGAATATTATTATTGTGACCCAAATCTAATACACCATGTTCATCTGGGCCACAGAGCACCCTTGGTTTTCTAATTATTATTATTATTATTATTATTATTATTATTATTATTATTATTATTATTATCTGGCAGATGTGTCACCGCATAGTCCTGCAAGGGGTGCAAGATTTATAGTATGAGTGACCTCCTCGCCGCCACAGCTTCCAAATACTGTCGGTTATTTGGATTCATGCT